GGATTGCCTTCGAGGAGTGGGCGTTGGCGTTTAGGTTCCTTCTTGATTTGTTTTTTTTTTTTCCATAGCATATCTGAATTGAAGAGCTGTGACAGGGTTTCCAGATTCTCAGATTTGTGTTTTTGTCTGCTGCTCATAGCCCCCAAATACCCCTCAAATGAACTTAGCTGCTCAAGGTCCACAAGGGAAGGTTCCATTGCGGGTGGTCCTGTCAGCCGGGGGCTGAACGCGATGATTTGTCTAAGCAACTATTCGTGGTCTGTGGCTGGACCTTGAGTACAGAGGCATCAAAACGAGAATGGATTGTTTTCCATATTATCTACATACTATAGGTATATCAACACTCTGTTCTCGATCTTAGTGTATCCTGAACTCTTTTTGTCGTTTATGTGTGTGGCTTGTAGAGGAAACTTTGCACACAGCTGCAGTCCTTTGCCTTGCCCATTTATTTGTCAAACAACATCAAACAACAAATGTTTGTCCCTAGTTGTCCTTGTATTTGATTCTTTGAGGGTAAGAGTTGTGGCCGCACCGGACCGATCAAGTGATTCAGCACTCACTCAGCCAGTCGGTCACTGGTGTTGGTTGTGCAGGTTTGCCAGTCAGTCGTCATTTTCTGGGATTTGAGCAAAGAGTTGACGGGGTTGACGGGTACAGTTGGACTTTTGACTTTTCTGCCTACGTTGGACTTCGCAGCGGAGAATCATTCAGATCATCCACTGGGGCATGGTCCAAACGGCATGCCAGGTCCAATGGACATCAGTGATAGGAAAATATGTGAACATATGGAGTGCCCTTTTGCCAATGGCCAATGTTTACTTTTCGTCCTTTTAGAAGTACGCCATTAATGCGAGGTAACGTACAGTTACAGAGGTTTGCAAAATGTGGTTCAGAAGTTCAGCACTGAGTTAGATCAATTCGACAAGGTCATTTTGAGCACAATGCAGATGAAATCTCAGACCAGCTACAGGCAAGCTTCTGTTTAATCCGTATATTGTACATGCAGTATGCATGGCTATCCCCCCAGCAGCACCATAGCACGGAAATTGCAAAATGAGACTGTCAGCACTCCACGTCAATGGCGAAATGACTTGTCTTGAAGTCATGCGAGAGACAACGGGTCGAGAGATAGAGCAGCAAATCAAAGAAGGACAGCTGTGGGATGATGATACTCGCAGAACTACCGAGGTGAAGCTTGTTATTGTTGGAGAAAGGTTGCTGGGTAGTGATGAGACAGTTGCGGACGCAGGGCTCACTGCAGATGCTGTTGTGAATGTTGTGTTCAAACAACAACAGAGCAAGATGCTCAAACAAAGCTGAGATTGCCAACTTGGGGAGTGACATTGACTTGGAACTGTTGCTCGCGGTTGAAATCCCAGACAATGTTGCTCGAATTGAGGCGTGCGCTTTCCAGTATTGCAACAAGTTGGCCAAATTGATCATCCCAGACTCAGTGACTCATATAGAGGATCATGCCTTTGAGGGATGCGACGCATTGGTGAACTTGTCCATCCCAAACTCGGTGACGCACATTGGAAACGCCGCGTTTAGGGATTGCTGCTTACTGGCGAACTTGAGCATACCGAACTCAGTTATTCACATTGGGGATGGTCTCTTTGTGCGTTGCACATCCTTGGTGAACTTGACCATCCCCAACTCAGTGACCTACATTGGAGAGCATGCTTTAACAATTGCAGAGCTTTGGCAAACTTGACCATTCCGGACTCAGTGACCCACATTGGAAATAGTGCCTTCAGGGCATGCGGCTCTTTGGTGAACTTGACTATCCCTAATTCAGTTATCCACATTGGGGATTTGGCTTTTCAGAGTTGCAGCTCCTTGGAGAACTTAACGATCCCGGGCTCAGTTGCTCAGATTGGGAACTTTGCTTTCCAGAACTGCAACTCTAGCGAATTTGACTATCCCAGACTCAGTCACTTACATAGAGCCTGGTGCCTTTGCAGATTGCAGCTCTTTGGTGAACTTGACTATTCTGAACTCGGTGACCGACATTGATCATTGGAGTTTCTGCGTTTCGGAATTGCTCCTCTTTGGCAATCGTGACCATTCCGAACTCATTGACCCACATTGGGAATGGCGCGCGCCTTTCAGACTTGTAGATCTTTGGCCAACTTGACCATTCCGGAGTGTGTGACCCACATTGGGAAGGATGCCTTCAAGGGTTGTATCTCTTTAAAGACCATTCCAGCGGCCGATTTGAGTCCTTTTCCACTTTGAGGTCGGCGCAAAGGGTTGCCAAATCTAAACAGCTTTCAACGCCTGTCAAGTGACATGCACATTCCGTGACCATTCTTTACGTATCGCCATACTCACTCAAACGGGCCTGTGGAACTATGTGGAACTCATGAGTCTTCAAAAATGATGGAGCTGCAGCAGATGCCCACCTCCTCCTTTGCAAACGCTCAAAAAATCGCCCTTTTGCGCGCTTTTCAGGACTTTGAGTCGGGCATGAAGGATTTGGACTGGCCCGAGAGCTTCCACAATGGAATCTTAGAGGCCATCGGGCCTTCAACGATCGGGTTGGACTCAGGGCCTCAGACGAGTTGAAACAAACACGACGAGTCGGTGTATATAAATGGTGTAATTAGATGGTTCATTCGGTTCATTATGGTTCATTGGTTGAAAATACAGATGGATCAAAAGAGAGAGAGAGAGATAGCGAGTTTGTGGTTCCAGCGGCAGCTGGCTGCTATTTCATGCAGTGCATTGACATGTTTGTTCTGCCGGTAGTAAAGAATTAGGAAGACTTAGGATTTATATACTTAACAAGTGTGATCCTCGGTCCTCGTTTCACATCCTCATTTCAAGTCTGCAAATCCCGATTTGGCCGTCGTATTGGATCCCACCTGTACATCGCCGCCATGTGTTTGTTGGTGTGGCTTGCTTGCATCAAACTACATCACCACCGTGACCGGCAGGTGATGTTCCGTGTTCTGGACCGTGACGCCACTGGAGCATTCCTGGAGAAGGACTAGCCTTTCTACTCAGTTAACTCGGTACCTGGGTCTTCCTGTCCACGATTTACTTATGCGGTTCGTTTTGTGGATGTCAAGGCAGAACTTCTGCATGGTTGGAAGTCCTGGTATGCTCAGATTGGTGGAACCATGTGGAATCCCCTCTTGGATGTAGAGATTCAGACCAACTCAACACCATGTATTTATATTGAATGTTCTTCACTCTGATCGGATCAAGGCACGCATGTCCGCGGTTCATTGCTTTATCAACATGCAAGGCGAAAATCATCAAACCTGCAAGACGGCCCCATCGGCTCCACCGTTGCACCGTTCCTGTGTTTTTCGCCCTTTGCACGGGCAATTCGGCTCAAGCGCCATTGATTTCTCAGGACTTTGCCGCCTTCGAGCACTTCAGCTATGAGAAGATGCTCGGAAAGTCACGTTGGGGTTCTGGAGGACAACAGGTCAGCATACCCTCGGTCATGTTGTTCATTTGGGAGGTCCATGACCTTGTGGGATATCATGGCAAATCAAACTTCATTGGCGGTTGTCGGTTTGATATAGATATCAGTATAGATCAGTATACAGCATACATCATTGGTAATATAGTGGGTTGCATAGTCTTGACATTCGGGCGGGCTATCACAGCGATAGGAAGGCCCATAGTCTTGTCGGGGAGATTTGAAAAAGGATGTGCAACAATCTGGCAACAATTATTTGATACTGATTAGACATTTGGGGTGGTGCAGGATGTCTTAAAGTCCAAAGTGTATCCGTTACAGTACGGGCGAAACCAGGTTTCAAGCTCCTTTTAACTTTTGGCTGCATCCTCAACACAGTTTCAAAGAGGTTCATCTATGTATTTGGCAGGGCCAAAAGCGTTTCACAGCTTGAACCACTGAACTCTACACTGGCTACCGGTTCTGCCGCTATGCCGCTACGCCCAGACAACGCCCTGCTGGTCGCGAAACGTTGTCAACTCGAGTCTCGTGCCGAGGACCTTGGAGGCACTGGTCCGGGTGGGCCGAAATTTGGTGAAGTTCCCCAAAGAACGCTCCTCGGCTGAAGATCGAGGGGCGCTTTTTCAAGAACAAAAAAAGCCTTCATAGGATGGTTTCATCTCAAAGAGCCAGGCTATGATATTGTTACTTATTAGTTATACAACAATATCATGAAAAGGTATGCCGATGATCTTAGCATTTGTGCAAATACGGTATTTCTCTTCAGCCATAGCTACTTGTGTCCTGGGATGTGCTTACAGCCAGGAGTGCAAGGGGAGGAGAAAGATCAGGAGGAGGTCACTTTGATTTGTCAATCGTCGTAGTTTGTTCCTTCCAATTGGCAACCAGTTGAAAGGTCAAACTGCGACGATGTGGTGGATCGTTCTTGTCGTGCACTTGATAACTACATGTATACGGCAGGTTGCTAGCAAGTTTATACATGTCTATACTATATATACATAAATACATATCACTATCACCAGGAACACAAAGAAGGAACCTCACTGGGTTGCTTTGTTTCTGATTTGCACCGAGCAACCAATCCCAATCTCCGAAGCACATTTTTCTTTTACACCGGTGCCCCGGTTGCTCAGGCCCAGATCGCTTGGTGAAGGCCGCCCGGGGTTGGGACCAGCGCCTGAAAGACTTGGCCGTGTTTCTCCAGAAGTGCATGGGCAAGCGTCTTTTGTTGATGGAGGTGGGGCCTTATAGGTATTATAGGGTGAGGCATCAGAGCAAGAGCACCCAAATATGGCGAAGTGGGATAGGGTGCTGGTGCATAGGTCACACTTCCATACACTTACTGCCAAATGTTCGGGTTGGAAGTGTGAAAGAGGATATGGGGATGACGGTGGCATACGGGTGGCTGCGTGGCCTTACCAAATAGCATGTAGCAGGGAGGGAACAAAACAGTATGTTTGTGTGTGTTTTTCCACGCGCTTGTTGTTTACATGAGGCTGCCATGTTCCTGTGAAGTGTAGCACTCTTGGCTCAATCACATCAGCTAGAGTCTAGAGTGATCAGGATGCTGAAGCCAGCGAGTGCAGCAGGCGTCAGGGAGAAGGATTTTTCAGAGGATTCACTGAGAAGGTGTTTGGTGCGTTGGAGGGTCAACAACCTGAGGATGTTGTTTGATGCGTAGGGTTTGTTCACTGAATGGAGTCCATTGCCAGTTTGAAGAGCTCTTGGGCTTGGAGGGACTGACTGAGGGACTGAGTGATCCCCAAATGCTGAGTGGGGATTGCTCCACAGTCGAATATCTTTCAGGGGTAACTGATTGACACTGACCAATGGATGGTGGATGGTAGTTGGTGCGAGAAGGAACCGACCAAAGGGTGTGAAGAAACTAAGCGGAATGCAAGACTAATGAGGAGATCCTAGTATGGTTAAGGGCTTACAGACAGCTATTTGACGTGTCGAAAGTAACTACTCTTGCAAAGGCTGGCTGGCTTGCAAAAAGTTGCATCAGGTTGCACAGAAGCAACTGGCCAAGCGAAGCAGTAGCCAACAAAGAAAGGAGGAGGGATTTAACATGATTTTACCGTTGAAATACTGTAACTGGAGTTCAGAGATTGAAAATATATTAAACCAAAAAACAGAAACAACAACAATTACTTCACTTCGAACGATCCCCACCATGACATTTCAATCCACTATAACATGAACGTAACGCAGATAATCAGGCCGCACATATTTTTCCGGAGCAACATGTTGGTATGTGACAAGACAATACCGGCTTCATGTCATTGCACCTGTCACCGGCTTGCAAGCAGAAAATACACAGATCAGTTGGAAACCTGAACCACAAAGCAAATGCTTTCAGCAAACAAAATCATGCCGCCATGCCGCCTGTCAGGAGATACCGTCAAACAGGAAAGAAACAGGTCAGTTAGACACCTGCAGCTGACATGAAAGGGCAATGCCAAATCATGCCGGCCTGCCGCCTGTCAGGAGATGCCGTCAAACAGGAAAGAAACATGTCAGTTGGACACCTGAAGCAGACATCAAATGGTGTCAGTATAAGCAAACATGCCAAAACAAAACAAACATTCCAGTTCGTGACCTGAATCATAGATCAAAAGCCTGTGGCAGTGGGACCGCTCCAGTCAAAACCAGTTATATAAGTTTCATGAAAGACAGCAATCAGATCGTCCATAGTCAGAATCGACTCTGCCAGGTGTGGCCACGGATGCAGTTCTTCCACTAGATCCAAATTGCACAACAAGTTCTTGTAGTTCTCCAAATCATCGCACACTTGGTCTTTGTTGGGCACATTCTTGAAACACTGTTTCCAGTGTGTAGCAGCACCTCTCCACACGCTCTAGCATGCGTGCATCTTCTGCACATTTCTGCAAAAAAAAGGCATCCAATCACAGCACCATTCCGGCATGGTCTTGCCCGACAAAGACAAACAAGGACTTTCCCTTTGTGGATGTGCGCATGCGGGGAGCCAGCATGCTCAATATCAACAGAAGGAAACACAGGCTTCTTCAGCTGAAGCCTCTTCAAATGCTCTCAGTAGCAGCAGCGAGGAAGACTGCCTCAACTTGCGGTTGAGGAGGACGAGGAGAGGAGAGGAGGGGAGGCAGCTGACATACAATCTCACCTGACAGGTGGGGAGCAACAAAAACAGTAGGTCGGGTACTGGCGACTCGGGGCAAGAATCCGAACAGGCCAGCAAGCGGCCGTGAAGCTCACTGCGGGGTGCATCTTGGCATAGATCCAGGAATTAGCAACCGCCCAGGCAATGAACTGGTTTCTTTTTTGGTGCTTTCCGGATCTGGGCCGAGGCATCCGCCGCTTGGCCGAGGGTGTCCCGTGTGCGACGCTGGCGCCCCTGGTCCAGGCGGGAGGCGGTCGCTGTGAGCCCGAGTGACTAGTGAAAGACATGATTGAAGAGTTTTACCATTAGCGGCTGGTGGAAACTAGTTCTTCCATATGGTGAAAATAGTCACTTTGGCTGGTGGAAGGTTTTCCTAAAGACTCTGGGCATGTTTGGGTTCAATTCACAAGTGGTACGTATATGTACGTATTATAATGAACTAAGAGTCCAGAGCAAGTTGTATGGTTGATGTACGTCCCATCCCACGGTCAGGGCCGAGTTCCTAAGTGATCAGATAAGCATGACTTGTTGAGGAGGCCAGTGTGACAAAACCGCTAAGAGCTCGACAGACCTTCCTTCGGCCCGAAACTGTGTGGAAAGCCCTGCGTGGTTGAAAATGGAAAGTGTTGGTTTGAACATGGTGGAATCAGTTCTGATGGGTGTTTAGCTGTTTTGAGAGATTTAAAGAAATCAGGGCCCTGCACAGGGCAGGTGAAAAGATCCATCTGTTCAAAGGGTTTTTAAAGGTTTTGTGCATGGCGTTTGCGCAGGCGTGTGTTTGGAGATTGAGTTATCCTTTTTAAACAAGCTGAGTAACTAATTATTGAACTATTGCCTGGTGGCCCATGGCAGACTGCTTGCTGCTCGCAGCATGCCGGGCAGGTGGTGGCCAAGAGAGTTGGCAGAGACAATGCTCAGGACAGGGCTGGGACTGCTCCTCCAACCTCATTCCCAGAAGCCACCTAAACGTCATGCACAGACTCAGACCTTTGAGATGAGAGTGAGTCATGTCCAAAATCCACAGAGATCAAGCCAATGGATGTTCATGTTCATTTGCTGTTCCTGCCAGGGGTCTTTGAAGGCTCCCAGATACATCCAGATACTCATATCATAATCCAGTTTCCACAGACCTCGCTTTTACTAAAGCCGAGGCTGTTTCTTTACAGTGACACGGACTGTTTGAGTTTGCGGAAAGCCTTCATCAAACCCCCATGCATCCAAAGTAACTTCACCTTGAAGGAAGCACCAATCACTATGGCTCAATATATCAGACCCATTTTCCACTGAATTAAACTGATCTCTTTCTTGCCAAAAGCAGGGCTCGTCTCTTGTGGAGCCCATCTCGCGAGGACGAGTTTGCGGACCGTCGAACAACCCTGAGCATTTCAGATGGTTGGGGCGCCAGGGAGAGCCGATCGGATGAAGAGATTTTGACATCCATGGGTCAATGAATCATCCATGAAACCACGGAGGTTGGTTCAGAAACTCTCTCCCTCAAAAAAAATTGCAGCTCCCGCTTTTTCTAGGGAGAGCTCCACCTACTCAGCCACATCGGTACTTGTGATGTTCATGTCCTTTGGGCTATTGTGCCAAGTCCTTAATTGTCCTTAGGTTTGATATAGACCGAAACTTCACATGCTTTGTGGCTGCTTCTTTTCCACGAGCTCTCTACTGTTGGTGGAAGATGGTGGAAGAAACATTATATACGAACCCGAACAAGACTCAGAAAACCTGTGTGCAGCTGTCCAACCGCTGCGCCTGCGGCGTCACATGCTTGCTTTGGAAGGCCAACACTTCATGTTGGCTATCCTGTCGCCAGACATCCAGGACCGGGTGGACGTGACATCCAGGCGGAGGAAGGGCCTGGAGGTTGCAACTCTCCCCGGCAGAACTGCACGCCCAAACTGGTGTGACATTCACGATTGGAGGGCACACAGGGAAGCTGAGTTGCGTGGAAAACAAGAATAAACAAGACCAAGATGGCCAGAGCAGCCCGCGTTTTCTTTCGGTCAAGTGGTAGAATCGACCATCGAATGGAACAAGGGGGAACACCGGCGACACCTTTTTCGTCCTCGGTATCTTCAGCTACGCTTCCCAAAGACCGACCGATCGGAGGCCAAAAACGTCCCAGTCGGTATGGATGGACATATTTGCTCTGTTCAGCTGTCATAGCAGATGACGTCCTCAGGATCCAGCTGAAGGGAGCATCATCCAGCTGTTGGAATGGAAGCGTGGGGCCTATGAAGGCGGGCTTACCGCTGCATTGGTGCGGTCCAGTTTCCTCAAGAAATCTCAAGAGTAGCTACTTCTTGGCTCCAAAAGAACAACAAAACCATTTGGTGTCCTATGAATGCGAGGAAACTGGATGAGTAGGGGACGTTCGAGGGATCGCTCTTCGTTGAATTTAATTCTGAATTTGATGCTGAACGTGACATCAAACGAATGCCCCGAAGAGGAGAAGGCAAATTATCCCACACTCACATGGTGACACTCTCCACCGAATATATATATATATATATTTTTTTAGTATATATATATATATATACCTGCCACTCTTTAAGGCACTCATGTCAAAGCAAGTCCTGGCATCGCTTTCCAAAGCGAAGCAACAGCTGACCCAATGCTTTGGCCAACGAGACGTCAAGCCTAAAAGAGTGTTGAGTAGACACTCCCAAGCATCAAGCAGACCGAGGAGAGGAGGAGGAGTGTCTCCCGTCAAATAGAGTGTGTTTGAAAAGTTCGGGAACCCCTGAAATGCCGACGTATGAACTCATGTATTTTTGTTCCGTTACAGTATTCTGACACACCTGGCAACCCCTTAATTTGCTGTTCGTGATTTTCAGACCAAGTGTTATATCTTGCAAAGCTCCTACCGACCCTGCAAGGTTTGCCCGCGATCTTCGTTGGTGTCTCAGAGTGTTCACCCGATTTCGTTGGGTATGGCAGCGGCATGATGGACGAACTAGCTTTTCCTGCTTTGTCACATGCTGCAATCAGCAAGCTTAGGGGAAGTCCGTTCGTTCAAGGCCCCCCTACTAGGTGGGCTGGGTTACGTAGTTTGTGTGGGATGTACAGTGTACAATTCTGGACACAGACCGGATCTTGTCAGATCTTGGGAGGAACATCCAAGAATGTCAGAATGTAGCCGTGTTGCTATCCGCATTGTCCCCATGATTCGAAGCACAGAGTCGGTGTGAACGACCGTGAACGGGTGAAAAAGAACAGCTCCGCTTTGGGGAGATTGATGTCACATACTGTTGGGCCTGCTCTGCAGTCGTGCTTGGTTAGGCGTGGATGTGAGAGAGACACATGTAGAAATAATGGGTGGCCGTCTGTCTTCTGCACGTACTCCAAGTGACTTCAGACTTCAACCTAAACCGAATACTGCAACCTAAGCAAAGATACAACGTAAACCAAGAACCAACCTACCCACCCACCGGCAGTAGTGACTCTCTCCCTGCCACTGCAGCTGCTGCTTCGCCCAGTTGAATGATTGGGATCAAAGCTCTGCACAAGTCTTTGACGTGGTGGGCCCGCCAGTAGCACCTGGGACTTCAACACGTCGCAGATGTTCGATCCGTGAACTCTGCTTGCTGCATTGGGTCGCAAGATATGGGGAAGAGGTCGGTCGGACTTGTGTTGGAGGAAAAGGACTGACAAACATCTAAGTCTACAGCAACCATATGCAGATATCCAGATTAGCAATCATATTGTCAACATATTGTCAACTTTGGAACTTTGTTTTTTCTTCCAACACGTTCGACAGGACGGAATGAATGGTGTTGGGACCCAGGATGGGTAGCACCATTCCACCAGGTGTGGGAAGCTATTAATGAATGGCGTTTCTTGGATATATGATATATGTGTTTGGTGTCGGTGAGGTTTGGTGCTGTGATCGGTGAGTGTGAGTCATAGTGAGTTGGTTCGGGAGCGGGTCCACATTTCCATACATTTCCCATTCAAATCAGATGACCTGCGGGCTTTCAGAGGACGGTTTCTATTCATCCGTTTGTTGCGGAAAAGTTGGGCCCGATCAGGGCATCCACACCATCAGCTTAGGCGCGGATCACTTTGGGGTGGGGGCTGGTGAGGGCCCAGTAACGGTCCTGTGAAGCTGGTGACCCTGCTAATCTACAAAAACAACATGTTCGAGGAAGAGATATGTGGATTTTTAGGTTTCTTGCAAATGCGGAATGAGGATGGACGTTTTGTGATGTTCTTGCGGGCCAATGATGATGCATGTAGAATGTCCTACCATGGTTTTGACAGACCATATGAGTGGAGTTGGTTCCGAAGTGATTTTGCGGTGTGCCAGCTGTCCAGGAAAGTTTGATGTGGATAGAGGCCGGCAAAAAGAAGACACAACAACCAGCCGAATCGTCAATAGAAAGAATAATTCTGCTACTAGTCCAAGACAAGGAGCAATTACCTTCTTCTGTCATAGAATTTGCACAGGCTCATTTCTTTTAGGCAACTTTTATGGTACCAACGGATCAAGCATGTCATAGATGATTTTGGGACAGTCCCGCGAAACAATCGCATACACCAAGCACTATGGCACATGCCTTGAGAGACTGACCCTGGTCACCACGGTGGATTGCACGTGTGCTTCGCAGAACACGCCAGGCACCCCTGATCGCGTGGAGAAGGTGGAACAGGCCCTTGCATGCGGCTGCGAGCTGCTGTGAGCATGGCTTCTTGCATGTTGCTCCAAAAAAGGTAGACAGACAACTTGAGACTTTCTGAATCAACCCCTGACAGAGTTATCCTTTTCTCCACAGTAGGGTGCCCAAATTTTTCGTTCGACATAGAGATCCAGGTAAATCATCCCAAGAAGAAGTATTCTCAAATGCTTCCAGTCCGATGTGATATGATGTGATGGACATACATGTACGGACCACATCAATGCTTAGTACCGAGGTCCACCATGTAAAGAGCTTGGTTTGTTCATGGTCCGTTCATGTGGGGCGCAGGGCTTGACGCAGCCATTGAAGCTTCTGTTCTGGAAGCTGTATCACATGATGAAAAATGATGAAAAACTCGGAAACTCACAGGCTATCCGGAGTAGGATAAAGCCCCACTCTAAGTCAAATTCTTCAGTGCTCCTGGCTCTTGGAGAAAGAACATCTATACCACCTGGTACTGTGCTGCTGGTGCAGGCTGGTGCCAACCTGCCTTGTGTCACGTCAGCCCGGGGGCCCCAGCTTTGGGAAAGTTTATGCGACTGAAACACTGACCTTCATGAAAGTACCCTTGCTAGGCCAGGATTGAGAAGAGAACAAGATCTCCCAACATGGTTGTTAATTTCAGTACGCTTAAAGGCTTTATACAAGCATCATGAGTCTTCACTTCATATGAGGCGGATGTTCCATCCGGTGCTTAGGTACCGGGTTCCCAGCTCTGGACAGGTACTTCGCAAGTGGTCCAGGTCCAGGTTCTGGTAGAGAAATATGAATAATGTGGTTGTAGGGCCTCAACGTTCCCAGACCCTACTGGCACAGATGAACTAAGATGAACTAAGCGTTACAAGCGTTGCAAAAGCAAGTCCATAGCGGCCTTAGCGAGCTACTTTACCTCAGGACACGTGTTTATCCAATTTCATCCCGGGTCCAGCTTACCAGGAGATGCTTGCTTATGCATTTGACTGTGGAAAGATCATGGCCATCGCATCCCCCAAACATCACCAGGCTCTGTGTCACTCTTGCCACGGGGACCTGGCCACCCAGGCTGCCATGGCGCCACCCCGTCCGGCCGGAGCCGCGGGAATAGGTCGAACAGGAAAGAAAGGCGACCAACAGCATCGATCCATCACCTGCTTGTGGCCTAACACATCACAGGAGTTTTTGTATACAGATATCACAGATACTGTATATTAGTATATAGATTATATAAATGATGTTGACTACCAGTGGCGCTTTAGAAGAAGTGGGAAGAAATCAGGAGATTAACCCCTTACCAGTTCCACACTGTTTGGTGTTCTACCCCAAGACATCCATCCATATACTTGTGTGTCTTTGGCGGCTTCTTGGCCCGGCCTACATGGATGACCTGACCATAACCGGCTTGAACAATGTGATCATATTGAATCCACCGCCTCGAGATGTTCCCATGCACACCGACAGTCCTCAATCATTATGATGCAAACAAAACTCCAAGTGGGAGAAGTCTTCAGTCAGGCAACTGGTCATTGAGTTCACCAAGACATGTCAATCTATATACGTTCACCTGTTCACTCCAACTGATATCGAAGACCGTGGACCATCGCCCCCCTCTGTGGTGCCGAAGAGCTTCAGGTGGCCACTCCCATGCGCCGCCGCATGAGTCCAGACATGCCGCTGTCAGATCCGGTTCGGGCGCCACGGGCCGCCGGTTCGTCGGCCGTCGGCGGTTTGGGAAGCTGGTAGAGGTCAGACGGCTGTGCTCCAGCTGCCACATTGGGGAGACAGTAGAAGCAACTGAAATGGTTCCATTAGAAAGTGGATTGGGGTTGGTACTGGTTTGATCAGGATGAACTACTTATCAAGGATTAAGTTGATTTCAACAAACAGTCCACCTACCTATGAATACATCCGAGTCATATCTCACCATGCAGATGCTGTTAAACGGTCACTGACGACAACTGCTCAAACGTGATTATGTGTGTTTTTTAAGTCCCTCAAAAAGCTAAACATTTGGACCTTCCGATTGGAGAACCCTCCTGACCTTTGAAGCCCGACCTCCGCTGTGAGGTGGAGACGAGCCCCGGTCCGGGGCGGCCCACGGCCCACACGGCCCACGCGGCCCACGGCCCAAGCGGGGTGCACGGAAGCCGAGAAATGGGAGGACTGAGAGTCCAAACGACATGTTCTGCCAATGGGGTATCCCCCGTCAAGGTTCGTGAAGATTTGTTTTGGGCCTTGTATAGCCCGTCAAACCAATTGGTGTAAGAATGTGTTCGAGTGTCATAATAGATATGACATGTTTCGTGTTTCTTTGTTTGTTATCAAAGTGGCGCAGGATTCACTTTTGAGACAAAGCCTGGCCTCCTGGAAACCCAGCTTGAAGCCAGTTAACAACTAGAGGCTGAAGAAAGAAAGTCTCGCCGATTTGCAGACAGGATGGCTCAACTACACTAGTTGATGTTTGTGTTAATGTTTCAAATTATTCGGTTTCAAATTATTGTGTTGCAATTTTTGCAATGTTCCAGCATTTTGGTGTTCCGATCGTGACTTTTTGATCGTCAGTTTTTGTATGTGTTTGCCCACGCAGCACCGACCTGGTTGGCCGAGGTCAAGTCTACCATTGGTCCCGATCGCACAGCTGAGCTTGCAGGGCGGTCCAGGGGCAGGGCGGGCAGGAGGGCAGTCCTAGGGCGGCTAGGGCGGTCCTTTCGATGACGTGCAGAGCGAACGCAGGGCGGTCCAGGGAGGACCTGCGAGAGGTTCTTCTTATTCACAGCGCTTCGGTTTGCGCGAAGCCTACACAATGCCTCAGCACCTTCGGTGCGGGCGTCCAATCGGGGCTTTTTCTTGCTGAGACTGCAAGGAACAGGTGCAAGGGTCTCATTGGAAGGCGTTGGTGACCCTTTCGGGGACCCAAGATTTCATTGGTCCTGTTCCCTTCTCACGGGATTTGGCACAAAATTGGACTCTAGCAGAAAGATCATGCTCTAAAACACAGGCGCTTGCGGTGGCTTCAAAGGGATGGTCCGAAACGCTTGTTGAATGCTTTCTTCCTCGCTTGGGGCTTGGGGGAGGACGACTGGAGCCCCCACCCGACCAAAATCGGACGCGCTGAAAGATGCAGGTCGATGCCTCGCTGCCGCGTGCGAGCGCGAGTGCTCAGCAAGTCAGGCCGTTGGGGACGTGAGGGATGTGAGTAATGTGAACCCCGGATTAACAACCCCCACACGTGGAAGGTCAACAAGGTCAAGAAGGTTTTGAGGTACAATTCATTAGGTCAACTCGCCCTGAATAATCTGCCAAGAAGGGAGTCGGGGCAGCAGTAGGAATGGGAGCAGTAGTAGTCGTCGGTGGCGTCGTTGTTGCCATTGTAATTGCCCTGGTGATGTTGGTGGTGGCCACAGCGGCGGCAGTGGTAGTTGTAGTCGTACTCAAAGCATTAGAAGTAGTAGTAGTAGTAGTAGTAGTAGTAGTAGTAGTAGTAGTAGTTCTTCTTTGTAGTTATATAGCAGTACAGTAGTTAGTATAGTATTAGTTGTATTTGTTGCACACATTAGTATTGTTTCTATTTGTAGTACTAGTAGAACATCGACCTGGTGTGGGGCTCGGATTAACTTGGGGGCTTCTAGCACCCAACAACCTTTTTCAGGTGGGAAGCAGCAACCAATATTATGTTCAATTCGGGTGAAGTTTCTTGGCTGTTTCGGCCCGGATTAACTAGGGGAGGCTTACTGTTAGACTGATGTTCAAAGGTCTTCACCCACTCAAATCCGAAAGAGCAACTGCCAAAAAGTATCAAAAGGATTCAAAAGGTAGTTTCCAATCAGTTATCCATGTCTTATGACAGAATTATTGGCGAGGCGATTCCACAATGCATTTGTGTTGCCTTTTTTAAGGCGAGAAGGTTTTTAGTCATAGTATGTCATAGTTGGGATCCAGCATCCCGCTTAAAGCAGTGTCGAATCTGTGGGTTGTGCTGAAACAGTCCCCCGACAGTCTCTTTTGTTGTTTGTTTCTTGGTGGGTCAACTAGGTTTTCCTTATTCTGTCACACATGTGACATACCAATAACAACGCCAATTGGTTGCGGGGGGTGGGATTCACCAATAGGCAATCACATAATATATGGGAGGTGACATTGAACTAGATGAGTTTGACCTCCGATGACTTGACCCTTATGCAGAGGGATGGTTGAGGGCTTGTTGACCTGCGAAACACACTACGACTTGGTCAATTTGGATTATACCTGGTCTTTGAGTTGTGGCCATACAACACACAAGCATCCGTTGGCTGCAAGGCAGACTTGGGAAATAGCAGTGACAGTTGTTTCTTGTGGTTGGGGGGCCAGACGAGCTTGTTGAGGTCTGGTTGGGTTGAACACATGTCAGATCGCCGACCAGAGTGGATGAACATGCCCCAGGCAACGATTCTGTTGGTTTCACCCGGAAAAACAGCCTGCAAACTGGAAAACCTTATGAACTCTATAATATATATAGAGAGAGAGAGAGACAGACGAGAAAGAAAAAATCCTGAAAAGAAAACAGTGGGGAGCACATGCCTAGTTCGTTGCATGCTTTTTCTGTTGAGGTTTTTCTCAGGTTTCCACTCAAGACCCTTGAATTGCTTCCGTTGAACTGGTTCAGGCTCAGACAGTTATATATATATGTATATAGTTGGCTGCATCCTTTGCCTGTCAGGAATTCGAGCCTTTACGAACTCCAGAGGACTCTCCGTCATTTTCAACCAGTGCTTTGACTCCACCAGAGAAAAAGATTCCAATTCGACACCTTCCTGTCTAAAGATGTCCGCGTTCAGACGTTTTCTGTTCAGGATGAAGGACCATGCGGATTTCTGTGAGTGTTTTTTTTGTGGAAATGCAGAACCACAACGAAAGAACAACAGTCTTGCCAGTGGAAGAGGTGCAACGATTCTGACTTTCTGCTTACATTGGTGGGGCAAAACTCACTCTGACTTCTCATTGGCCAACCTATGATGAACGATGCCCTTTGAGAGCCAGGGTCGACCACAAAACCAAACTGCGAGACCCACTGCCACATACAAGAATGGATTCCACCTAAAAACAATGGACTTGACGATTCTCGAATACATGAACCAGAACCACAGATGTTCTGGTTGATTCCGTTGGCCTGTTCTGTTTGGTGCTTTTCTTTTGTCACGCAAAGCGTGACTTCTTGCGCTCCAGGAAGCAGCCAGCTCTTCTCAATGGATCTCATGGACTCCGATGGGGTCCGCAACTTACTGGGTCGTTCGTGACCCACGTCGTCGAGTCTTGGACCGAGTTTGCGTGAAGATCACTTGGGGGTCCTACCCGAATGTGGTTGATGGCAAACATCCCAAAACTATCCCATGGCAACTGAAGTTTTTTATTAAAGATTTTGGCTTCGTTGGTTCAGAGAGCTTTGTTCCAACTCTGGACTTTGGACTCTTTTGGCAGGCGGAGACTCTCATGTCGTCCTTTGTGCCAAAACCTGTTTTAGTTCCACCACGTCCCACCTGTTCAGCGCACGACACAGGCCTGCACCAGGGCCACCTGTTTTGGTGTGGCCGTCGACAAGTCCCTCGGCTTTTGCCTCGCATGCTGAGTATGTGGTCGCAGGTTGTAGGAGGAGGTTCCAGATGGATTGGTGCAAATAACTGCTCAAACAAGAGGTTTAAGGAGTGCTTTTAGTAGGAGTTTTTTGTCAGTTATTGTCTTAGGGGCTAAGTAGGGAGTATTTCAATCCAAAAATCACGTGGCTGTTGTTTCTTTTCTTCTGAGGGTCAACACCTGGCAACATGGATGCCTGATGAATCTCCTCTCCTGATGTCAGAGTCATCCTTCTGGCGAGCTGTGACAGTACGGCCCCTTTCTACAGTTGATACGACTTGACCACCAATGAACCATCTCTATCCGTCTATAATATCCATGAATGTGGACAAGTCCTTTCCGCTTGTGTGGAACAACTGGTGCGAAAACCCTCAGGTTTTATCCTGCCATTCAAGTGAAGAAGATCTATGAGATCACTGGCGCGTCAGTGAAGCAAGCGAATCCCAGGCGGGGAAGAGTGACGAGAAATCACAAATGATCACAAATGCATCTAGTGGCCCACTTTAATTTTGGTTGGACAAAATCCGCAGCCATTCGGCTGCCTGACCGGTACTCATCAGCATGATGTGAGGCTTGCAGTCATTTCAAGTTATATGTTTTTTTGACAGAGAAGCGTTGTTTGTGTGATGCTATGTCACAGAGTGTGTCATTCTGATGTCATTCTGATGATCACACGATCCAGTACATTGATTTGATTTGTGGTGATGCCAGCAGCCAACTGTAACTGCGAACCTAAAAGCAGGCCACTGACCACTGGAAGAGGCATCTATAGTTTCTCCATGAGCCATCAGTGAGACGAACACAGCAGCATAACTTAAATCGCCGTACTCGCGCTCATTGTTTGACAATGTCCACATAGCTCTTGCAGGCCGTAGATCGAACTGCACCTTCCTGGCATGGTTGCCATAAGATACACATGAACCCTCCTGCAGACTGCAGATTGCCCTGGCCTGGCAGTAGAATTCACCACTAAAAAGAGCACTGAGCACGGTGGGGTAGGTAGAATGAGCAACGCCCAACGAGCATGCAGAATTTCCAGTGGGGGTGTCCACACATGTTCGGTTAGTACAAGATTGACTGGGCCCCAAGGCATCATTTTCCTTGGTCTAGTGCTGCCTCGTTTGGTGCCTGCTGCAATGCTGTGAAATGAGGTCAGGTGTGGGTGATGACATGTATCATGTGCCCTTTGTCCCATTTCTTCCCTGCACAACGTGAGGTATTGCCGATATCCCATGGAGCTGACCTTGGACGAGCGTGGTGCCTTTTTGACGGCCTTGCCGGAGGAGTGTGGCACCGAGCGAAGACCAACGAACCCATCAACTTCAACACCAAAAGTGGCGTGTGTCCGAACCTTGCTATTGGTGCTTCATGTCATCTTTGGTGTTTGAAGAGATCACCATTGTCTCATGCACCTGGTGAAACATCCAGACATATATACAGAGTGAATCAGAGTGAGAAACGAGGATAAACTACGAGCACCGGCAAACAAAGCACCGGCACTAGCTGGAATCCAGCCCAAAAAGGGGATGCAACTGGCCAGTGCAGTGCCAGGTGCTGGGAATCAGTTGTGAGAAACGACTCAAGAAAGATCACCGTTGTTCACCTTCTTGCATGGATATTCTGTAGATGACCTTCAGACCTGCAACAATTTGCAAGGGATTAGCGGTCTCTTATGGCGGATCCTTTAACGATGTTTTGTTTGCAGATGTGGGTTTGCAACTCCGAGGTGGGGATGTGTGTGTGTGTGTGGTGCATGATCCTGCATGTCGAGCTCTCACTGTATCATGTCATAGATATCGGATTCTCCTAGCAGGTCCGAGTCCTAGCTGTCATAATTGGTTTCTACAACACTTGCGTTGCTTCCTGATTCCTGGGGTATAGAAACACAGGGTCCGGTCGAGTTTTCTGCCCGAAAGCTGTCCTGTCCTCTGATCAGATTGTCAGATCGTGGAGCAGGATGGAACCATTCCGCCAATTCCCTACAAGTTCGTGCCCATCGCAGAGCTGAGCAGGGACCCCTGAAGGAGCAGTTGGATCATCATGTGCAAGTAATTATCCAGTGATATTTAGTTCTACATGCAGCTTCCTTGGAGATGGTATGCAGTGTGCTTGACTTGCAACATCAAGTCGAAGATAGCAGGTTGACATCGACAACCTGTCCAAAAGCCTGTTGTATATGGAATTATATGGACTTGCATGATCTTGCATCCTTAATTTCTTGAGCAGCATTCGCACGCGTGAGCAGCATTGGCATGCGAGAATCCCCATGACCATCACCATGCGTTCCATATCTCCTTTTCCCTTTGGATGCCAGCTTTGACCCCGCTATATCTCGACGGTGACGCAATTACAAAGACCCAGGTTTGGCAGTGCTGGGCACCAGCTGTGATGTCCTTGGCGTGGTTCATTCCCTGGAGGATCCTGTGCGGAGACATGGTCAACTTGGATGGGAAGAGGTCAATTGGGTCGAGTCGGGAAAGCAAGCAGGTCCAAAATCAACCTTTTGCTGTCAATTTCTCTGCAGAAGCTTGAATTCTCCACCTTGAACCTAGTAAAGATGTGAAACTAAATATAAATATAATTAGAGTCCTTTTACTAGGAAGCTTCCTTGAGATAAGGAAGACTGGTGGTAGCACAAGTCTGGCTTTGGCCAGGGTCAGCTAACGCCCTTTCACGGGGCAGATGCTGGTGTTTGTGGGATTGCAAGGGGAATTTGGTTGTGTCCTGGCTTTGAGCCAATGTCCACATAGGACCACATAGGGCTCAAAGCGGCTCAGCCATTGCTCTATTTCGACATCATCTGTGAACGCAAATCCTAGAGTCCTTTTTCATTTGTCTCTTCCGGTTTATTATGTAACAATTATAACTATTTTAATACTGTACTGTATACTGTTTATACAAGGAGGTGAGACTCTTGAACAGAAGTCTGTTGTACACTACCAATTGTGATTGAGCATGTTTCTCAAGCGGCAACCAGTAACGATGTCCACTCTGAGGAAGTCAGTGGTGGTTAAGAATAGATGGCACAAATACTTGTACGAGCTCACATGGGGCTCACATGGATCTGCCTTGCCACCGGTGAAAAAACGCCCCGAGCTGATCTCAATGTTTATGTGACACAAAGTGATCCGAAACCAGGTCAGCGTCGTCACCAAGAATGGCCCTCGAATGAAGCGGCAGGTGGTCAAGCAGCAGCGAGCAGGGCTTTGTGGTTGGTCTGATCTTGGGGCAAGTCCAGTTCTTTTCCTGGTTTTATTTTATTAATGGCCGACCCTTTTGCAGATCATCGCTTTGACTCGCGGGACAGTACTCTCAATGCACAAACCGACATGTGCAGATCCAGGATTCTGGGCATTTTTGACCTTCAGGAATCTGGACCTTGAGGGATTAGACTTTGGGCTGACTGAAGCTTCTAGCTGTGCTGTGTGCAGCCGAAATCCCACAGAATGAAACAAGGAGCAACAGCAATGGTCACTTCTCGGACGACAACCGTGTAGCCTCCCATTGTTCTTCAGCTAACAGTCAGGTCCAGCACTCTAGTCTCCCTGGAATGGTCCAGATCCCAAAAAGGCTCCGTACCAGGCTCCATATGGCTCCATGGACTTTTCGCATGCAGCTTTTCTAGTCTTCCTCGCAGCTCCAAGGCGATCCTCCTCGACAGCTCCAAGGCTTCTATCGCGCCCTGGTGGCCAGGGGTGAAAACACGTGCTTCTATCATTCCTGGTCCTATATATACGCTGTTACTGTATGTTACTGTATGTTGTTAATCTTTCCCTAAGATGCCTTGAGAAAACCCTGTTCCTCTACCTAAAGGCGACCCCACCTTTCTCTCCGGGTGTCAATGCCTCTCTCCCGCCCTTTCGTGGGTTTGGTCAAAAGCAGGTGCCGCGAGACCGTCCGAAGCAAACTAGCGAGTTTGACAGTATGTGTGTGTATATATATATGTGTATTTTCGATGTCAATGGTATTCACCCACTCCATCCCTCAAGTTCCAGTGCTTTTTGGCAGGAAGCTGGGAAGCAGAAGTATTTGATTCCTCACAGACATGATGATCAATGCTCATGAATATTTAACTGGCAAGTCGTACCAAGAGGTTCGGACATGTTGGAACTGTTGACGGATGAAACACCAAAAGGTTCCGTGGGTTTGCGTTACCTTTCATCTCTGAGTTTCGCAGAATCTTGAGATTCACAAGGGTCCCCCAATTCGTAAATCACTTGACACTTAACCTCTTGAAAACTAACATGGCATGGCAGCCCATACAAGGTGGTTTCCTCTGCCAGGTGTATTGACAGGTCTGGAGAAAAGTGCATACACACTACTTACAACAAATGTGTGCATGCAAGTGTTGTATTCGATGCACATTATTTCTTTTCCACACCTATATCGTTGTTGTGTGTACAAGTTACAGTTAGAAGTCCAGGGGTTGCACAGTTCCTGCAGAACACTCCTGTGAAGAAGCCAACTGAGGCATTGAACCTGTGGGCAGAGAAGGCGAGATCGGTGGGAGCTGTCGGCAACAATCATGCAGGGATTCACCCGGTCACCCCTTTGAGATAGTGGAACTTGGGATCTTTGGAAACGTTGGTGTGTGTGACTTTTGCGGGTCCAAGTATACCTTCTGAGCCGATGGATCCTTAGGGAAGGCTAATTAGAATGAAGCTTAAATTTGGATCCTTGTCTTTCAGGGCTAATGCTCCTACATACAGTCGCTGTGTTGAAGCCATCCTGTTTTCAGGAGCGGAAAATATTGCCTCCGTCGAAGTTTCTTGGGATGGGTGCACAGTAAGCCGCATCCGCAAGAAGTTGTCATGTTTGCAATGCGCACGAAAAGGTCGGTGGCGGCGCAGTAAGATGCATCCAGCAAGTGGCACGGAAAGTATGAGCAAACCCAGAGGACTTTTCAGAGACAAGGCCAACAGGGCTGTCAGGAGTCCAAGAAAATGAAAAGTAAGTTTGATGACCACAGTGAGGTGGTTAAAGTCTTTAAAACGACGCCTGCGTTGAAGTTGATTTCAACAAAACCTAAAGCAAAAGTGTCTGGCCCCACCCAGACCCTCGAGCTTTGAAAAACTTAAGGCCGAAGACAAAAACAAACGACAACCCGAGGAGGACCTTGAATAAACATGAATAAACTTGCTTTGCAAGAGGAAAGAGAGGTTGAACTCCATCGCCTGCCAGCAGTAGAAAGCCGCGCAGCGGGTCGCTATACTAAAACACTAAAACAGACAGATACACAGCTTGCCCATGAGGCATGCGAAAGCCTCAAAAGCTCAGCCAGCTGTGCGTGCCCCAGCCAAGCCTAGCGCGAAGGAAGCATAGACAAACCTGGCAGGCAAGGGCTTTACAGAAGGCCGCTTTAGATGCAAATGATCTATCGGATGGCTTGCCCGGGAGGCACGAGCTTCCAGAAAACCGTTGTAAAGTCAAATTAGTCCAGAGAAGACCTTCCTAAAAGCACATTGGCCCACGGGAAGGCCCTGATAAAGGCAACATGATCTACGGGATTTCTTGTCCCAGAGGCACGAAAATTGTCTATATGTTGAAAGGCAAAATGGTCTACAGGCATCCGGTTAAAAGCAAAAGGTCGACGAGGAGCCCCCAAAAGCCCCAGATCCAGGATTTGGCTGCGGGTCCTTGTAAAGCCAACAAAGACACACAAAGAATCAGGCAATATTCGACGGGCAGAAATTTCTAGGAACAATTGGCCGACGATAGGGCTTTTAAAGGCAAAAATGGTCTACTATGGTCTACTATATAATTTGGGAAGGGTCATGGACCATGGAGGAAGCAGTGATGAGTCCTAAGTCTGGGTCGCTGACCAAGGTAATTATGGTATATCCTGTGTGTCAAGCGTTCTTTTAAATCACTTCCCCAACAGTCCATCCTGCAGGATAGTGGACCGCAAAATGAAAGCTTCGCACTGTGGGTTCATTTGAAAACCCGCTGGACTCCACAGATGGGAACAAGTCTAGTGCATATAGCCCCCGTCGATGATTTTGCTCATCGATGTTAGGTCTTGGCAGCGTAGGGCGAAGTAGAGTGAATGAGTTTTTCAATTGCGAGGAAGACATCCAGCGCCCATGAGATGGGGAGTGATGCTGCTCCGCTTGACTTTGACAGGGCCTTGGGCGTCGCGGAGATGCCACTTGCCCCGAGACCTGTTCTCATGCTGGGGACGTGGCAGATAATATGTATCGCCACCAGTACTTCACTAAGAGCATCGTATGCACTTTTGGGTCAAAAGTGGAGGATTGAGGTAGATCCGAGACAGTCAGAGGTGCTCTTCCAAACCTCCGCCTTTGCCAGGCTGAGATTGAACTTGCAGCCTGGTGCTTAGTTCAGTCATTTGTTCTAGCATGAGTATCTTGAAATTGTAGGTTGGACTGACAACGTGCTTACGTATGCCCTTGTGAATTCAACATCCCAAGCAGTTTGGTGCACATTCGGCCTCCCCACCGGAAAGCAGATGGTCCGATCTCTAACTACAGAGTAGTTCTTTTCTGTTTTTAAACGTTTCAGCCATATGAGTTGCTGTTTTCTTCACACAGTCCTCTCCTTTGCATCAGAAAAGTGCTCGATGTGCCCACCCAAGAGTGTTCTGGGGCTGGGAGAAAAGGGCCTTGTCCAAGAACAAGATTTCATTGTGAATTGTGCAATATCATCCTGGCTAGCGCCGGTCCGGTCATGTAGCCAAAAACTATAACCTGTCACCAACTCCGACCCTTTTTAGATGCTCCTGCCTGCCATCCATGTTGTCTCGGATCGTTGTGATCGTTGGATCCTGAGGTGGGCATGGTCGTTTTTGTACGTGCTGCTCGCGTGAGCGAGTTTCAGGGCCGGACGTTGGATCTGAACGAGGCAGTCGGCGACAGGTTGATGGAAAATGCCTGGAATCCAACAGCTTGATCCAAGTGGGTCAATGGGTTTTCGAAACCAGTCTGTGGTAGCTGGGGTTCACTGACACCAGGAGAATCATGGATGAATACTGTTGTGTTTTCGCGGGTCTTTATAGGGTGCGAACGGCTGCTTGGGGGTCTTCTGGCTTCAGACTGTTCTTGCCATTGTCCGCTGTGCGATGCTCCTATGTCTGAGGTTCAGAGATGATATGGTGGAGCAGAGATGATATGGTGGAGCAATGATTTTCATTTTGATTCTTGAAGCGTAAAGTTCCAGCGGGTTTCCACTATTGTTGGATTGCCGCAATCAAACATGTTGTAAGTGTTTCTGGTGAACCTTGTGCTGAGAACGTGTGTTTTTGTCCAAAAAGGAGGATCCCCATGCAATCCTCCTGAACAAAGCCCAATGGCCTGCGCTGGCTCCAAAATCCAACTTCTAACCCACCAAGCCAATATCTTTCAGTACATATACTGGTAGTTCAATTAATCGATGTCATGCATATAACTACAGCTACTCTGCTCTACCATAATTCAGCCGGCAAACGATTTAAGACTCCATCATTTGGCTCTTGGGTGCAGCTTGATCGGCAGGCCAGCTTCGTGGAAACCAATCCTGATGACCCGCGAGCGCCTGGGGCACCCAGCTAGATGAGGGGTTACGACATGTTACGACCAGGCGAATGGGCGACCAGAGGATGAGGGACTGCAACCAATGAGATAATCAGCATCCATGGAAAGGACCGGCTGTATTTTACGGAAGGTGATTCTGAAAGATCATCTGGAGCAACAATAGCTGTTTGCAGGGTAGGGAAGACATAAATGGCTAGTTAGAGATGAAGTTCCAGGGTGCAGACCATTTGGCAGAATCCCAATTCGCAGTCAATGGCCTATGGCCAGGATTTGTTCATGCCAACCCCCAAATGACCGGACATCGCAGGATATGTCCATCGCTGGTGCAGGTGGTGCTGAAGTTTTTTCTCTTTGATAGCAGAAGTATATCAGATGTTCTGCCCACATGGCATCGAATGGAATCGTCTCTGGTACTGTAGTGTCCTTGCTCCTAGTAGTAAGGCCAGGAGACCCTAGTAGCGCCCCATGCTAAGAAAGTGGAACATGTCCCAGATGCCAATGTTCCGGCAATCAATGGCTTTCTCCAGTACCTAGACTTAGGGCCATCACCGACCAGAGAGGGTTTTGCACAGCCTTTGGATCCTGAGACATGCAATCACGGAGAGATACATGTGGTTTTCAAAACTACTTGTTTGCAAAGTCTTGCTACAGGCCATAGCAGAGCATTGAATTGGCCTGCTGCTTTGTAGTCTCTCCAAATGTTTATTGCAAGTTTAGCGTTTTGAGTGAGAGGCAGCTTGCACCCTCCTAGGAGAATTGTACTGCTACCTTGCGAGGGTTCATGGGACGGGTGCAACTTACATTGCTGGCTCAAATTGCCATCTGGTGCTTTCAATGTAGAATGGTGGCAAAGAAGCAGCGAACCAGCAAGACGGTCCTATGGATCCTATGACTTTTAGGATGTTGATGTTATACTTATGACGGTCCCTATGCCTGTGTAGTCGTATAGTTGTTATGACATCATACTTGATTCCAGCCCTCGTTTTTCGAAGCTTTGCTGGGCACAGCTCTCAGGTTTCAGCTCCAGGCTTGGCATCAAAGCTGCGGGCAAGATGAGCCGATTCGTGTGGCACCTGGATTTGGCTCCGTGTGAGGAGTGGTTGTGGAAGTGGTGCTAGTGGTGGAAGCATTGGAAGTGGTGGAAGGGGTGAAATGCTGAATTGCTGTGACGGATTTACCCACAGTCAGTCCAGTAACGTCCAGTGATTCATGAAGTTGACCACTTGTGTCCATGCAGAACGAAACTCTTGGCCTTCCTTTGGAAGGGTCTCTTATACTTATACATCGCAGAGTTTACGGCTTTACGGGTGCCTCCGGATGAACGCTAAGGCCCACTGTCGGGACTTGTCAGTGGCGGTCGGGGGAAGAAGAGGAACCTTGCAGAAGCTCTGGCAGAGGCGCAAGTTGCAAGCGCCTTTTTGTTTGCTTTTGGCTGGTGGACGATAGTTGAACCTCTCATTGCTAGGAGGTGGTGGCTTGAAAGAAGTAGGTGGAGACGAAATGGCGAGTGGATGGATCAAAATGGTGGGATTCTGAATGACTCTGAAAGTGCAACATGTTGACTACTATTTGGGAATGTCCCCCTGCCATGGTTTGGCCTTCCTCGCTTGCGGATGGTGTTCAGTCAAGCTACTCTTGACAGGCCCTTGGCTCAACCGAGTACCTGAACACTTTGTGCACACTACAGTATGAAAGGTGAATTCGATAACATAAATAGAAAGAACTCTACCCAGAACCAACGTTCAACAAAAAACAAACCCAAGGAAGGTGCATTGTTGTATTTGCGGATCTCATCCAGGCTGTCAAGTGTTAATTCAGTGATGAGTTGATTTGCGAGCCTACATCAGTAATCTGGAATATTCGGAATATGGGTTTGGGATGTTGTCCCAGTTTTTTTTGTGTGGTGCACTTTGATGGCCAACGTGACTCTTTGTGCAAAAGGGAGTTCAGTAAGTTCAGGGACGGCCACTGCGGGTCTAGTTTCGGAATGTGAACATGAATGGGTTTGTCGCTATCACTATGACATGGAGGCCGAGAGTAATGTTTGTTATGTACGTCAAAAAGACATGCTCTAGCTTTTGGCTTCAAGGGGCAAAGCCCATAGAACAAATTAACATATAAGAGGACAATTGAACCTTATATAATCACATTAAATTATATATATAGTATATTTTGATCCCCGTACCTCCAGCCAGGATTCCTTGCTAGCCAACCAGGGGGAGCGCTCCAGCTCGGCACGTACCGTGGGGATCGTCAGCCCGAGTTGAGGTCCGTGGAAAACAATTCTACTAGTAGCTTCTTGTTACTGGTAGCTACTTGCTCCTAGTAGTACGGCCAGGAGCCCCTAGTAGCGTTCTTGCTCCTGGTAGCGATGCCCTTTGCTCCTAGTAGCTTCTTGCTACTAGTAGCTTCTTGTTCCGAGTAGCGATGGCCTCCAACCTACTTGCGATGGCCTCCACCTGCTTTATGCCATCATATGCCTCCCTTTTGAGCAGAGAAGGTCTTCGCATGACATCACATGCTTGGGACAACATCATGTTGTGATGTGGTCGACGATGCATACTTCTCTCAAAATGAAAAGGACAGGAGCTGCACCATCATCCCCAACAATGTCCTCCGAACACGATAATGCATTTGATAGCAACATGTAGCAATCAAAGGCCAAGGAAGCAAAAACATGCCCTTTGGTAAGTAATCATACAAATAGCTAGAGGTGTTTCGAAGTAGGATGTTTCTTTGGGGGAGTGATGTGTCAGCTCTGTTCGTCGGGAGTTGGTTCCTTCGACCTGCACCGATCACCATAGTCACTTATATAGTCATGAAAACATATATAATGTGCTTCTTGTTGCTAGTAGTAAGGATGCTCCTAGTAGTACGGCCAGGAGCCCCTAGTAGTGTAGTCCCTTGATTAATCACCCCCCCCCCGCCCCCCCCCTCAACAACCAGGGCCTCCAATATAATGTACAAGAAGACTAATCAAAGGACCAAAACGAAAAGAATCATTATTACAATCTTCTTGGTCTTCTCTGGCAATATCAAAAATAAAAGGGAGTCAATGAAATCTCAAATTGAAGACATTTGGAATACTAAAGTAAAAGGACATCAATAAAGTGGAAATGGAATTCTCAATATTTTAATGGACATCTCAATCCAAAGACCTTGAAAAGCATCCAATCTCAATGGAAATCTTCAACTTTTCAAGAGCTTGGGTAAGTAAAGCAAAGCAAAAGGAAAAGAAAGGGAATGAATACAAGTTTACTTAAAGCAACATATTTTTTAAGCTTGAAACCCCAGCAAACTCAAAAGGGAAAAAGTAAACTATAACAATAAAAAATATTCCACTACAACTATCCCTGCCAAAAAAAAAAACATTATTCTGGGGGCCTTTATTAATCAGTGCAGGAAAAAAGAAGACATTATTCTAGGGGGGGTTATTAATCACAGGTCTACATTAGCGTCCTTGCTCCTAGTAGCGATGCCAGGAGCCCCTAGTAGCTTCTTGTTCCATGTCTTCCCAAAAGCTAGGTCGAGGTTTGACTGGTGAGATTTGCCGATTTGATGATGGTGATCAAGTTACTCTCCAGTCAGTTTGAGATCAAGTGGTCTTCCCAACATTGACTTACCAACAAACTGTTGCCCGGAAGTAGGACGAAAGCTTTTAGAAGCAAAGTGAGCCAGAATCTTTGGTTATGACTTCCATCCAAACCATACCAAGCCATCCAAGGTGAATTTCCACCAGGTCTCAGCCGGATCCTCGGGGCACAAAGAACGACTTGGCTGATCAAGTGATGTTTGGATGATTTTGGATGATTGAATATTAGACATGACGAAATGACATGAATAAACCCTTCTAGGGAATCAATAATCAGGAAATGTAGGGAATCTATGAGAATGGCATTTCTTCTAGGGAATCTACTATTTACAGTAATTATATGAGGACCTTCTTTCCAGGTCCTTTGCACAATATTCCAAGAAACAGGTCATTTGTCCAGTCAAGATCAATGCTACTAGCTGCTACTTGTTGGCCTGCTCGTTGGCTGCTGCAGGTCGAGGGAGGTGGAAGCGATCAGGATTTTTGGCTGTAAGGAATTTCACCAATAGAACGACACCAGTTTATTTTCCACTGATCATTTCATTTAGTTTCTCTTGTTGTACATCACCTGAGTTTATTTTACTTGCAACATGTTCCACTGCGACCGCAATTCACCCCGACTTTACCTCAACGAACTCAGGCGACGGTGGTCGCGGTTCGCAACGACCGAGCGCCCTTCTATTGGGTTTGGCGACCCAAGGAAGTTTCGACAAACGGGGTCGTTTTCCAAATGCTTTGCTTGAGTCCAGTCGGAGGTCGTTTTCGGCATTTCAAGCTTTGGGCGTTTGGTGAGTATGTTTATTTATGTCTTGCAACCTGCGACTTGTATTTGTTGGAAGTTCTGGTCTGGATAGAGAGAGAGAGAGAGCGCTGGAGGGAAAGCGGGACTATATACCTGAGAGTTCCCAAAGTTTATCATTTATATTTATATGTATATATTTAAATAAAGACACTGAGAAAGTCACATCCCCAATCTTGAGCATCCTATGGTTAGGCATCGATGTTTCTTGAACATCGGACAGCGTAGACGTTTGAGCGAGGTTCGTTGAATCTTCAGATCCGATCTGGCATGCTCTAGTAGCATATTCTAGGCATCTCTGCAACTCCCCGAGCTTTGGAATCTAGAGAATGGTACTGGGAGAATGCAAATTGATCTTGCCTCCACCTTTGAATGAAGATGAATAAAGATCAATAAGATTGAATAAGGTGTAATTATTTAAAATATATATAATATTATATAAGTATGCTATATACATATAATTTATAATATTTAACGGTTGAAGTTTGGCTCAACCAGATCGCCAGATGTTCTTCCCACCCCACCGGGCGCTCATATTGGCACCTGTTCGCATGCAGGGTTGCACGACCGAAGTGCCGGGCTATGAGAAGCCACGATCTTGCAACAAGAAGGCAAATGCAGCAAGTGGGCCTCCTGCACCACTCAAACAGAAGCATCGTAGTGAGTAAGAGGCCATTCAAGCCTTGACTGATTGTCCATTCTTGTCAAACATGACATGTTCTTGTGGACTATTCGCATGACTATGACTCTGACAGTAAACTACAAACAACAGACATTCGATATCGTTCGACTGCAAAAAAAAGCCGCCAGGTCGAAAATGGGCAATGCGCAGCTGGACACATTTGCCCTGAGCCTGCTGCTCGCTTTAACCTCTCCTTGCAGGCGCGCGTGGCGCGCCGTGCAGTGGCGAGTGTGGCCACAAGTGGCATGAGCCTGGCCGGGCACTTCTTGACAAATTCTCGGAGGCCAGTAAACTGCGTGGTAATTGGTCATTTCTTGAGAAGTCCGCAGTCTCTTGCAGGTAGCAGATGCCTTTGCCTGCGCTAGGGCGCTCAGTTTCAAGAAGGTCGGGCTCCACCCAACCGGGCCAAGATGTGGGGATCAACATCCGACGTGAAAGATTGGGGCGAATTCGGCATCATGCCATGGCACAGGACAAGGGGAACATGTTGAAACGGCGGAGACGCCATCAGAATTGCACAGTAAAGAAGCGGGCACTTGGATTGCTGAAAACAATCTTTCACTACCTAGGTCCGATTCATATACTCCTTCGCAAAGCCGATTTGGGGGGTTTCACAGGGTTTCCAATGGGAATGGCTTTCTGGCTAGACAAAGACCCATCGCAACCTCCATCTGACCTCCTGCTTTTGGGGCTCCCAAGATCTCGCAATTTGGGATCGTCGGTTTCTTCCTCACCGCGACCTGCTTTTCGTAGAGACCGAGGATCAAGAGGTCCCTCCACGCGAAACTGCGCAGAATGACCAGTTCAAATGTTCAAATTGTTGAACAGGACTCAAAACATGGGATGTTCCCGTGTATAAGTACATGAAAGGAGCCGTTTCTCACCTCGGCACCATTTATGTCCACTGTCGATCTATCCAGGTCAATCTGTTTCAGTCCCTGCTGAGGTTCATTGCCAAGCCTTTGGAGAAGAGGCTCACATCTTAGCTGTTTCGTTTAGTGTGTGCATCGTTTGCATTGTGTGCAAAAATAGAAAAGGGGGCTCCGCCCCTGAGAAGAGAGAAAGGATAGAGATATAGTTTATGTCCAGGGCCTCCATTCTGACACAAAGAGGTGAAAACTATGACCTGGTATTTCCAGTGGTCGGGCTACCTTCACTGATCGTCAGTAGCTGGGGCGGACAGTTCTGCTGATTTTTTTTCACCAACTGAGGGGCATTGAAGGGCTTGTATGTGATTGCTGTTGATGCTCATAGTGCTTGTTTTTACGAAGTGCATTACCAGCATATCGTTAAAGTTGCTTTGACCCAGATACAGTAGGAGCCTACTTAGAAGTAGAGGAGTTATTTATGAATGCTACCACTGTGATATTGACATCAATCTCCGTAGACCTGTGCCAAAAGTGATCCTGTCCATGTGGACCAATTTTCAGGTCAACCCAGAATGATCCTTTTCATGCTGGGAACACTTTGACCGTTCCTACTTGGTTTGGGGATGCTCCCCAGGCTGAGCTTCTGGCCGACGTTCCCGCAGCGGAGCTGGCCGTCTTGGACGACGAGCGCATGGCCGGGAACCTGCAGGTGGTCTCCGGGCGGTCTTCGTCACGTCCAAACAAGAGTAACCCATTCAAAGAGACGACAGCAGTACTCTTTGGTGATGTGGACCTACAAAAACGTTTTGGACTCTTGGAAGAACACCCTTTTCATTTAGTTTGAAGACGGTTGCTTCATGAGGTCCAGGTGAGTTCACGAGAAACAACAGGTCCAGCAAGACTAACCAACTCTCCAAAGTATTGAGCAGCCTCGAAGAGTGATTGCAGGTAAACATTGAAATTTGATCCATTTCCTTTCTCACAAGCAAGCACATGGTTGTACTTTGTTGTGGTTTGTTGCGCACGCAACTTGTTTGCTTGGTTGGACTCATTTGGATGAGTTGGCCAAATTCAGGATAGAAGATAGAAGCAAACCGTGATCGAAGACTAATTTTTTACAAATGAAAACACTTGGAAAGACCCTGAAAAGAGACCATGCCTATGTCGATGGTCTCAAGGAATTGGAATATTTAATATTAATATGATGCCGAAATGGAGCACCCAAATCCACCAGGAGCTGCTAGTAGTGCCCTTGCTCCTAGTAGCGATGCCTTTTGTTCCTACTTAGTAGCTTCTTGCTACTAGTAGTAATGCCAGGAGCTACTAATAGCGTCCTTGCTCCTAGTAGCGACGTAGATGGTGGGACCTGAGTCGCGCCACGACGCGGGATGACTGGAGCGGCAGCCTGTGACCCGCCTTCGCTCGCGACAGGCGGAGAAGACGTACACCCGGATCTTCCGTTTGGGCACCCTGAGTGGTTTGAAGTCTGGAGTCATGGGTAGTCAAGATGTAGTGAAGTGCTTGTTAAGTCCAGAATCTTTCGCAAGATATGTTGGGAATTTGTGGAGATGTTTGGAGGTATTCTCCCACATCATGTGCTGGTGATATTCTTGAGCGCATATCTATGCACATCTTGAGAGTTGGGTGCACGAGGTGCACTTACACTTTCGGGAGAATTCGGGAGAGAATAGATGGCGCAACTCCAGTTGGCCGGATTGAATAGAGTTCTTTACTTGCTGCATTGTGGGATTATATATCTCATCATCCTGGAAAAGTTGAGTTTCTGGCAGTTTTGCTGAAGGAATAAACACTTTGGTTAGGGGATTCGTGTTGATTGACAGTCAGCTGCTGACAGGGTTTCATGGGTTAAGTTGCTGGAAAGCTGGAAACTTCTGCGATTTCTTTGGACATCTCCGGTTAAGCAACCAACGCCGGCTGAGGGAACATGCTGTTCCGGCGCTGGGCCTTCACCTTGAAATGCCGGAAGGAGAACTATGAAGGTGAGGAAGACGAAGCGGTGAGAAAGTCCATGAAAGACCTATCCTGTTAATGGAAGAAGGACACCCAGTGGATCACGCAAACAAGTGAGCACCTCGGGTATTAACAGTTTTTTTGGGGTGCTGAACTTGGGCGGTGCAGGAATTCTTCCGTCAACCGTTTTGATGACCTGGGGTGTGGCGAAATCCTATGGCAAGGTTGACAGGATAGGAATGCCCACAAATTATACCATGTCTGACCTTCGTTTCCCAACTGAGGAAGCAACAGATTCCAAGGTCGTGACCTGACCATTCGAGAAGCCCGACGTAGCTCCAATGGACCCACGCGTTGGTCGTTTGGTGAAGGACAACCAGAACCACTCGGGCGGATGGACCGGCGATGATTGAATCATTGGACCAGCCCAGATTTGCAAGAGAATCTATGGGATTTTGAACTGGTGCCGTCTTCTTTGCGGATCAAGTGCCACGCTAGTAGTAACAAGTGCCTTACTAGTAGTAACAAAAAAGCTATTAGAAACAAGTGCCTTACTACTAGTAACAATAAGAATTAAGTTAAAATTAATAGCTTTTTGTTACTACCAGTAAGGCACTTGTTACTACTAGCGAGGCACTTGTTCCTAGTAGCAAAGGAATCTACTAGGACCTTTTCTTCTAGGATTGTTGGATCCTGGAAATTGATAAACAATGATCACCCGCGAAATGTTTCTTTGTGAAAGCACACACAGCGGTCGGTCAGTAGAGAACAAACAGGCAAGCCGATAACAAGATCAACAGTGTGTTAAAGAGCACCATTTGTTCGAAGTTGATGACCATGTCCCAAGTTGACAGTCACTGACAGTGGGTAAATTATACTGCTGTATCTACGATCATGACAAACTTTTCTGTCGTGCACCTAGTCCAGCACTGCCCAGCATATGAAAACCACATCCAGATCTTTTTTCTATACGTTTTTTTGACCTCAGATGGTCTCCCAGCTCGTCTTGTTTCGCTGGGCTCCTCCCGTCTTGGCTCGAGGCCGTGTGAGGCTCCAAGTCTCCGTGGATCGCCTGGCACCGGTGGACTCCGTGGCCGAGAGCCATCGGATGCTGCAGGAGATGAAGTGGCGAGCTGAGCGAACGGTGAGCGGCAGTGAGAGGGAAAAGGGTCGAACATACAAGAAATGATGGATGACACGGATGTTGAGTTTGAAAAATCTCTGAAGAGCTTAGTTTGGGAACCAGTGATATGACATGGATGTGGATTCAAAAGACACAGATTTCTCCGGGACGTGGTCAAAGGTTTTCCGGCCGGCCAGCAGGAGGAATGAAATCATTGGGGCGGAACTACCTCATCCTTTTAATTCTGAATCGGGTGGCAGATTGCTTATCTGGGATTTGTTGGGAGTTGGGTTCCCTTGTAGGTCGGGACCCTCAACCAGAGCCTAAGCCTGCTGTGGATTTGAAGCTTGAAACAGTTTTACTTGTTGCACTTTGCAACCTTTCCAATTCATGAGAAGCACAAATGATTGATGTGTAGGCCGGGAGGTAGTCCCGCTTGACAGCTTAAACTACCCGCCTACCTGTGCAGATGGGACCGACCCCTATCTGTGAGCATCAGCAAGCAGACAAAGATGCACTCAAAACATACGCCCTGCACAGTTTTACAAAAACTGAGTGCACGTAGCAATGTAGGTATATTCACAGTTTCGCGAATTTGATGCATTAGCGTGAGGGTTTCGTGTCAGCTCATGCACCCAGGTCAATGGCATTGCATGTGAATTTGTGAGCTGCGGACTGAAAGGTGGTGGCGGTGCCACGCCCCTCGGCTTCCTGAGCGGTGCAATATACACTTCATGGAGAGAAGCAACACGTGGAACTGTACTACATAGAGATGTCACTTCAGATGAGAAACTGGCTTAAAGATCACCGCAAAAAGGTCCAGGAAGCTCTTGTAATGGAGGGATATATATATATATATATTGCAGGTGGTGTTCGGCAAGAGAAGACGGTGGATGCCAAGACTGAATAGAAAGACTGGGGATGACGAATCCCCGGACGTGAGCAGAGACCTTTGACTACAAGAGTACCACATGGAAATCACCTACTGTCGTTTGCACCCCACCCAATGAAGTGATTTCCGCTGAGGCGGGAATGCCGCCAAAACGTGGCGGTTGCGATGGCTTTGAAATCGCCGTGGCGAAATCACCTATTGCATGTGCAAGAAGATAGAGATGATGCAAGTGCATCACTTGTTGTACCTATGACTTGACCATGTTCTTTGCCACAGTTCTATTTTCAGAGTAACACACACTGTAATTCTTCACGGCATGACGGCATGAACCGACCCGATCAAAACCCAAATGTTCGACGGTCCTCCACTTGTTGAGACATGCCACTGGCTACTCTGTCGATCCGGGGTCGACGCGCAGGGAAAATGTGGTCGGAGCGATGTGAGTCGCGCCACAGCCAGAGTTTGCTCCAGTTTGCAGAGCGCATGTATTGTAGTCCTTGGGCAGGCAACACATGAAAGTGGTATATGATTATGATGTTATGATTGGCACCCCCCACCTTGTTTCCCTAGTGTCATGCATGCTTGAGGCATCAAATCATAGCCTTTAGACTTGTGTCTAACAAAAGGACTCAAACATGAGATAAACACTTTGTCAGGATGGTTGCCACTTTGTTCCACCAGTTTCAACCTGTTAAGATGCAACCTGCTGCACGCATGTGGAATTCTGGGTGTTCTTGTTGATCGGCCAAGGTCTTTGTATTTTGCCTCGGCACAGTTGAATTGGACGAAGAAGAGATGTGCTCACAGCAATTTAAATTAGAAGAGATGTGTTTCTTTGCCCTTCCGGTCTTGGGCATTGGCAACGAACTTTTTGTTGTTCTTTTCAACAAAGAATTGTGGATGGACAAGTGCATCGTGGGTCACACCGAAGAAACCAAGGACGCATCACGTCACTTTTGAGGAAGATGTTCGCTTGCCCCGCGAGCCTCTGCGCCAGCTGTAGTTGGGAGATGAGAGCTGCAGCAAGTCAACAAAAAGCGTGTGTGAAGCGCGGAGCTTTTTTTTGTGAAGTGCAGGTGAGGTGGGTATGATGGTACCATCAAACCTGCTGGCGCCTGCTGGGGTGTCATGTTTAACTCAGCTGGAATGGCCAAGGCTTTGCGACTCTTGTTCAGCACACCTGGAAGAGAGCTGTTGGGAATTCCATCAAATTTATCGTTGTAGCTCTACTTCATTGGATTCATTCGCAATCACGAGAACAGTCTACATACACAGAAAGCTATGGACTCTAGGGACCTGGGTTTGGGAGATGTCGTTCGTGCGCTTGCTCAGCATGATGGTTGGCTATGCTTCTCATTTCACTGCCCTCCCGACAAGTACTGCCGGAGATGTTCGCGACTTCTTTGACCACCATGAAAAGCTGAGTTTCACTTCTTTCTGGTACTAGTCGCGTGAATATACATAATATGTATATGCGGCCAAAGCCCCAAAGCCGCGTAGGACAACGGCATCGACCCGAGTGAACCTACTCGAGAAGTGGATCAAGACATGTTTGGAGGCCATCGCTACTAGGCGCAAGGACGCTACTAGGAGCAAAGGGCATCGCTACTAGGCGCTAGCAGAGTCTTGGCTCCAACAGGTGAAGTTGGATTTGCTCACCGTCGCCGATCCGTCGGACACGGGCATTGGCCGCAGCTCCTTCGTGGAAGCCTGGAAGGAGAGTTGATTGGTTTGCGCATTTCACCGGAAACCCGTGGACCATGGGCTATCAGCATGTACACCACAGGGTGGCTCCTAGTAGGGGCATGATCCCGGCTAGTAGATCCTGAATGATCCTGAGAGAGTTTGAGTTTCAGACTGAAAAAACCCACTGGTAGTACGTCCTGAGAGATCATGGTTTTCTCAAATGTTTGAACATTGTTGAGAAACACTGACGTTCATGGACCTCTTCCAGATTCTAGATGCAAGTTTTCATTCTTGCTGCCAGCTCCTCGCTGCTTCGGATTTGGTTTCGCTACTTCGATGTGAGAAGAGTCCTCTTCTCTTGGCATTTGCCATGCTGTCCCACCAAATGGTGGCTTTGAACTGGAACCACCCAAAGTGCCTACAGTGTACTTACAGCCTACAACATGCAAAAAATCACAGCTGTTTGGTACTATCGGAAGCAAAGGTCAGAGGGTTTCTGTTCCGCATCAGCACCCAACGGGCGAGACCGAGACCTTGCCCGATCGAAAGATGGTCTACAGAATGATACAACGGTGGAGACCGAGAACCTGGAGATTTGCACAACGAACACCTGAGGCTTGATTGAACGCCTGCAGCGTTGCTTCCCGCTACTCTGCGATTCTGTGACCTGGATCCAGGCACATGTGGCTTTGGATGCCCAAAGATACCTCATCCATGCTCTTTGGTGGGGCATTGCTGCAGCAACGGTGTTCGTGGCTAGTGTGGTGTACTACTTGCTCATGTGTTGGTTGTTTTTCTTCATCGTGAGATGTTCCTCTTGCTTAGTGCAGAAGGTGCCTTGGCTTGTGGCCGCTTTGGCTAGTGCTCCGTTTCTGGTAGCACTTGTGGCAATGTTTTTGTTGCTATCCAAGAATCGTTCACAATTCTGGGTGCGGCAGGATTCTTGGTCTTGCATGGTTGTTGTTTGTCTTTGCTTTGTTTAAAGTTTAACGATGTTTAACGTATGGAGATGTCACAGTTTCACAGGAGGAGGGGCGTCAGCAAAAGCTACTCCTGACTGGATGGCCTTCCAGAGACAGAGATCGATTTTCCTACATCACCATAGGGATTTATGGGTATTGTAAGTCCAGAATGGAACGAGCGCGAAGCTTTCCTGGCCACATTTCACTGGTGGGCATTGCCGTGTCGATTCTAGCACTGCGGTTTTCCTTTGAGAACTTTTCAACCTCAACCATGGCCATTGGGCCATGCCCGTTCACCACTCGTGAGGAGTTTGGCTCCAAGACTGAGGAGGCTGATGGGAA